TTCTGCAAATTGACATCAAGTGTTCCAAAATGTGACCTAGTTTGGTGGACCCTGCTACCCGGTTCAATAAGAGTAATTTGCTTATTATCTATTATTCAGTTTGTTCCCAAGTGAACCCAATTCACTACAGGGTTTCACATTCTCAAATCTCTTTATCCCTTACCGTACCTCATATTATGTAACACTCCATTACTCCCTCTGTAACCATAAATTGGCTCCAGTTTTCTTCTTGGTCAATCTCAATTGATTTGCTCCACTGCCTCCATATCCTATTGGTATGCATGTTATCTCTAAATTTTCCCAAAAGTTGAGCACCAAACTAACACACTTACCTCGCACACTTAACTCTTTAATATGTATATACCAGGGATACGAACTAGACGAATTAGAGCAGAAGCCAACCATATTCCAAGATCTACTTTTTTCCATCATAACATACAAGGCTATCTATTACTTAAAATGGAAGCATACAATAATTCAATTTATTATGCTTTTTCCACTTTCTACATAAACAATGTTTATAGTAGTTGATAAACACACAGCAAAACACAGTAATAGAAGCCCTCCAGAATCTACAGGCACAATGAAAAACAAAGATAATACAATTTACATCTATGGCAACTTTGAGCAGGCAACCTTTTAATTAATGGATCATGAGATGGGTCATATTAAGAGAGATTATACGAAGGCCATCAAAGATATCATATTTCATGTTTTTAATGTTGAAATGGAAGAGAGAAAAATAATCAAGGATTGCTCCTTTAAATCACATAGCTACCAAGTAACCACTAACAATCTAAGATATTGGAGGGTTTATCTTATGAATGACAAAGCACAAATAATTTCATATATTTTCACTATTGAGTCCCAATTGATATCATTACGCATCAATGGACACATATTATCCAACATAAGCAGCCTTTATTACATAGCTAAATATAAGGCCACCAACACATTTTGTCATTTCATTAAAAAAATGGAAACTTACTTTGGAGCTCATCCACCCGAGCTCTTTTTTCTATAAGAAGGCAATGGGCAAGAATGACTGCCTGTTGAATTGCAGTCAATGTTACATCAGTGGCACGATTATGCTCAGCCAGATTCAGGTTGTTTAATCCATTACCAACACTGTTGATAAATTTAGGAGCCATCAACACATCAGATGCCTCAGTATTCTGTTGATGTGAATTTGGCTCATTAGAAGCATCACTATCATGAATAACATTTGATGATGGAGTGCTACTGGCACTACCTAAAGTGCTTTTGCGCGTAACCAGAACCCTCTGGGCAACTGGGTCCACCTACATTCAGCCATGACAACCAATTCTAAGGTAAGACACAGTTTATCTTTGATAATCAGAAAACTGGGACTAGTCAGATATTTACTTGATGAACTGTTCGGACACCAAGAGCTCCAGTTACAGAGAGTTCAAGCCCTGTAGACAATGCTGCCGCTTCAAAATATTGCCTAGACACACAACCATGGGGTAAGACAAATATAAAAGGATATCTAACTAATATTTCAGTGTAATTACAATGAAGAGGAAGACAAGGAATTTCAGTGTGTTACTTTAATCCTTGGTAGATGCAAAAGGGAGATCCAACAAAAGGTTCATATAAGAGGGATATCCAACCATAATTTATGTTTGTGGGGGAGATAGCAGATTCTTAATTTCAGTAATCCTCTTCACGAAGATTATAACAGGATTCCTAATTTCTTATTAACATTTATGGTAGCTCAACTGAGGTTCATCATTAAGCTTTAACTTTATGTTTTGATTTAGTTTGATACCCAGTGGTTTATTTTAGCTACCTTTGAAGAGGCATGTGCTGCCTTCCTGGCTGTGTTTACAGGAGGCTCCCACTATACCAGCAATTTGGTTAGGGACCTTTCTTGTTTGGATTTTGTCATCTCCAATTCGTAATATAAAGTTGCCAATCAATACAAAAAAAAATGAAAAAATAAAAAATAAATTGGCAATCAAACAAGTCAACCAACACAATCACAAAGAAAATCCTCTACTTATATCATGACTAGATTGGATAACACATTTTGTGGAAAGCTCTAGTAGCCTAGTAGGACATAGTAATGTGCACTCCGATCAAAGAAAAGCAACATATGGGAGTAAGGAGGACATACTTTGCATGATCAACACGCCCAAAAGTATGTTCAATCAATCCTGCCTCTAACTGCAGCATTGAGACAATAGTTAAAGCTTCATCTTCTTCTACTGCATCACCCCAATAGGTTATTACTTTCTCCACATTGCCAAAATGATTTACACTTTCACCCATGAACACTTGCAGTAAATCAAGTAATGAAGAGCAACGTTCATCCATAATGCGCTGCTGTACAAGAATAAGTCTAGCTAACCACCAAGTGCTAGTTTCAAATCCAGCTTCACACACGATATTTCCACCAAATGATATATCCCTGGTCTTCATAAGCAAGATCTTCGCAAACAGTATATACTGTAAAATTATAATTACATCAATTGAAAGGTTAACATGTGGTACATGCTATTGGAATCCATGCAATAACATGATTTAGAATAAATTTTCTTAAGGGCAAACAGTTGATTGTTAACAAGGACACAAAACCATAGAAAGAAAAATGTAAAATATTTATGCTCCGTCAATAGATCCTATAGTCAAAGTGAGGCAATAAATAACTACTAATCCCTTCATTCCTAAATAATAAGACATATATTAGCGGCGAGTTTACAAGTATCCTTCACTATTTACTTCTCCACCACAGTATAGTCTTTCCTGCGCATTCTTGTTACTTAAGGGCATACGAGAAAGTTCAAAGTTTAACTTACTTTATAAAGTTGCCTATTTTTTGGACAAAACAAAATAAAGATGTAGTCTATAACTTGGGTAGGAGGTAGTAGATCAGTAATAATCGTTTAGGAACATGAGTCTGACCTCTGGACATTCATATTCTAATTCCAACCATTACACCCCATAAGATTTTTGTATGCGATATGCCTACTACTATCTCCCAAAACATTAAAAGCACACAAGTGCTTAGCAAGAACCAAAGAACACTAGCCTGGCAACCTCACTTTATCCTTATGCTACATCAAAAATTAGTCTGAAATAATAAAATAAAAAATACCGAGGGAGTAAATAAAAAAGATGGTTTTAAGATTAAATTGAAAAAACCCTAAAGAAATTGATTCTTTAGCATCTTAGTAATGAAACAGAGTATGATAAGGAAAATGATTACTTAATAAAAGCTATTAATTTAGTAGTTATGCACTTAATTTTGCAAGACTTCGAATACTTATGTGTTTATGGTTAACATTATTTTGTTGAGATATCATTCAATTACAGAGTAGTTTAAAAGTCCTGATGACAAAGATTTGGGGGGGAAAATAGTACGATTAGGTAAAGACACAAATTAAACCTAAGACCCTACCCAAACCCTGCTACACCAATAGGGACTGAGTGAGGGACTTAAAAATTAAGACCCTAAGGATTTGAGTAGGGTATGGTTATGCATTAAAAAAAGTTCAAGTACAGGCATTACTAGACCCTACCCAGTGCCAGCCCAACTTCCAAACAAAGAGGTTTTGCACCATCCAAAAAAAAACTAGCATTTGCATTTCTCGCAACGGATTGCCTAGATGCCAACATTATCTCAATAATTACAACATGATTTGCTATACTATTCGAAAGTACTACAAGCAATACATGTCATGTTATCAATACATCTTCATAGCTTTATACAATTTAAAATTACATTTTTTATTGATTCCAAAATAAAATCAATTCTACAAAACCACAGATTTCACAAACTCACCACAAAAGACTTTCTAGCAACAAGATTCAACATAATCAAAGTACCTGTAAATTAGAAAATTTAGCAGCCAAATCAGAACCATCTGACGTTAACTGATTTTGCGCCCACGCTTCCCATTCCTTTCCCTCCTTTATCGCCTTCCACGGCAATGGAACTGAAGGTAGCTCAATCACTGGACTGCCAAAAAAAAATAAAAATAAAAAAAAACTAAATTTTCAATTTCACTCCAATCAACAAATCTACTGAATTCCAATCACATTAAACTAATGTTCAATTTCATTTCCACCAACAAAATTACTCAATTTCAATTACATTACAACTAATTTCCGATTTCAAATATATTTTTGATCACCAAAATAAGTTAACTTCAATTACAACAATTTAATACCTTCAATTTTACATTAAGTCTTTCGAACAATATAATATAAACTGGAAAGAGAAACTAACCCAGTAAAATTACGCTGGAAGAAAGCAAGTAAAGCAGCAACAGCAATAGAAACAAGCAGAATAATCTTAAAAGAAGCATTAGCTTCAACAGCATCATCCACCAAATAAGATTCAACCGCTCTTTCCAATTCAGAGTAGAACTGACTCGGGTCGAGTGATTCGAACGAGTCGGCGAATTGAAATATCGTCCGAGCTCCGGCAGAAGAGAGAGAATCAACAAAGCGTCCAGATTCTATGAGGCTGATAATGTCGTCGAGAAGAGGGTGAAATGGCGGCGGAGTGCGGCGGGTGATGTGCGGCGGTGGTGGTGGAAGGGAGCAGCGGAGGAGACGAAGCTCGTAGTTACGGAAGTGCTGTGCTTCTAATTCCGCCATAGAAGAGAAAGAGAGAGAGAAAATATGGTGCTCAAACGGCTGTGTTGTTTGAAATGAGAGGGGTGTTTGCGGGGTTTTGGTTTGTTTGAAGCCAAGGGTTTAAGGGAGTACTTGTTTGAATACTCGTCATGATGTAATTAGGCTCCGTTTTTTTGAGCTTCTGGGCAAGCAGATTTCACGATAGAAGAGTAGATCCGAGCAGAGCAGAACAAAACTTATGGAGCACGATTATTTATTATATCATCAAACATCGGAGAACGCTGAAGTACATTAATGTCGTTGTAGGATCCAGGCGTCCCAAAGAAGGCGTGCCAAATCCATAAATCCCTTGAAGAAATCGCTTCTAAAATAACAGTCGTTGTTTTAGATCTTCATTGATACATTCCTTTCCATCCAGGACAATTTTTCCAAACCCAATGCATGCAATCAATGCTGCCCAACATGTCAGGGAAACCTCTATCCTCCCCTTCTCTAAGGAGGCGTTGGATATCTTCCAATGTTGGCTTGCGAAGGTACTCAGTTGCAAATTGAGCAATTACTCCGTCGACAAACTGTGCAACACATTCTCTAGCAGTGCTTTCACCGAGCTTCAGATACTCATCTACTTGATCAGCAGAACAACCATAAGCTAACATACGTATGGCTGCTGTGCATTTCTGAAGGGGTGAAGCACCAAGACGCATGGTAGCATCTGGGTGTTGTTGGAAGTAACGGTTAGTTGCACTTAATGTGTTGACAATGCGAAGGAAAAGGGGTCTTCGCATACGAAACCTCCTTCGAAATGTGGTTTCATCGTATAATGGTTGGTCACTAAAATAATCTGAAACTAAATTGTCGTGAGCTGCTGCACGATTTCTCGGCACAATTATTCTTCGTTTTCTTTGACGTTTATGTTCATTTTGCTGTACTGAATTGTTTACAGCTACAAGTACTGCATTTTGCATTACTTGTAATCGATGACTCTCATTGATAAAATTCATGACCATTTGATCATAGATTTCATCAGTTGAACTTGAAGACGAAGAAGAAGAACTTGAAGAGTTTGAATCGAAATTCATATTATGTTTATTACCAAACAATATTTGAAATAGAAGGTTTTGGGTTTTTTTTAAAAAATGCCAATGGGAAAATAAGGTTGATATTGAGAGATGTAATGTTATTGGGAGTAATATTATGAATTTATAGATAAAAATAGGATAAGGTTAGTCGGATGATAAGATTTCTCCCAAGGATATGTGGTCATAAAACAAAGGATGTCAGAAGATAAGATTTTGGTTAGATGAAATGTCATGGGTAGCAATCTTATACATTATCTAGACAAAAAACGATAAGGTTAGTCAGAAGATTAGATTTCAGATGATGATATGTGGTCATAAAACAAAGGATGTCAGAAGATAAGATTTTGGTTAGATGAAATGTCATGGGTAGCAATCTTATACATTATCTAGACAAAAAACGATAAGGTTAGTCAGAAGATTAGATTTTAAATGATGATTTGTGGTCATAAAACAAAGGATGTCATGGGTAGAAAACTTATACATTATCACAATAATATAAGTAACATTAACAGACTTGAACTCAATTTAGTAAACATAAAGTTCATATTAATACATAGAAATTATATTCATAATAAAAAGGTACATTAACAATAATTCTGCAAAGTTACAATAATAATAAAACATACAACTCATAAACGTAATAACAAATCATGATTACTCGGTACAATCAGGTAAATTAAATCAAATCGAAAATCTACTACTAAATTCATCTCTAAGTTTCTTATACATTTCTAATTCAACTTCATTAAGAACGGGCTTCTGCATTAATCTTTCTAACATCCTAAACTTCATGGCCTCGTTCTTTTGCCTTTTCTTTTCTTCAACTTGTGCTTTTTTAATTTCATCTCTTTCCTTCAACTGATCCAGAAGTCGTCCACCCAAATCATTCAACTTATCACCAACTTCGTTAAAATTTGTGTTTAACGCTTCAAGATTTATACTTGAAGTTGAAGTAGTAGATGCTTTACCTTTCATCTTTGTTTGTTTTATGCCAGCTGGTCTTTTATCTCTTCCTCCAACCTTGGATGGTGAATCAGGTTGTGATCTTTTACCGCTACCCCCACTTTCGGTTGACGTTTGTTGGCCACCGGGTAACATAGTCGATTGATATTTGGCCAAAGATGGATCCCATTTCGGATATTTTCTCAACTCCTCAAAACAGTGCAATAAACAAAACATCTTGTTGTTAGTTGCGTAGTAATCTTTGTGAGCAAATTTCTCCAAATTTTGCTCGGACTCACCACTACCCTTGGTTCGATAATGATCTTTGGCCAAAGATGGATCCCATTTCGGATATTTTCTCAACTCCTCAAAACAGTGCAATAAACAAAACAAAGCGTTAATTTTTCTTACCTTAGTTTCATCGGGGTTTTCCATTCTAGAACGTTCGTAGCGGTTATAGATGTCAACCCATAACCCACTTCTCTTTGTCTTGGTTCCTCTCACTACGTCACCCCCTGCGTTTATGTAGGCCGATACAAGTGCTTTGTCTTCAGCTATGCTCCATGATTGGTTTTTCCTTTGCCCGGTGGTGTTGACATTTTGTTCGGAAACAATTTCGACATCAACATCGTTAATGTCTTCTAGATGTTGCGCCCCCACTAATTGTTCCACATGTTCATCACCACTCTCCTCTATTGGAGTTGCATTGCTACCACCAAAACCTCCCGGTGATTGATCCATGTTCTGAGTGAAATGTTCAGAAATGGGAAAACCCGCCATATTGCCAAGAGATTGTTGAGATGACGAGCTACTTTGAGGAAAAGGGAATTGAGGTTGACAGTGTGGAATATTATTGACATTTATTGGTCTTGATTGACTATTAAACCATTGCAAAGCAGCTTGAAAATTCGGATTACTCAATAAATTTGGGTCAAAAGAAGGATTATTTTGATTATATTGAAAGTTTTGATTGTTTGGAAAATTCATATTATTCCCGTAATTTGAATTATTACGATCCATATGAAGGGTATTTGAATGGAAGTGAAATTTGTGGAAAAAAATTTGTTTGAGTGATATTAGATGTTTTCGACAATGGATGAGATTAATGGGGAAAAATGCAAAAAATGAAAGTGTGTGAAAATATGAGAAAATTATACTCATTTTATACATAAAAAAATTTTATGACCGTTGGTGTTTTTAGTTTTCTAAAATAAGTTACCGTTAACAAGTTATAGCCGTTATAAATATTTAAGTCACAAAAATACATGACCACTCTTGTTGTGACAAGTGTCACAAAATAACTTGTTCTTGGTTGCATTTGACCGTTGGATAATAATGTTGGTTTGGCAATTTTCCACCAACGACTACTTTCCCCCTTTTTTTTTATTTTTCTGTTGTTTTCTTTTGCACACGGGCCGAGGAAACATTTCCTTTCCACAGAAAGGAAATACTAATGTACTTCTCAAGAGAATATCCTATTACAAACTTCAGCATTCAAGAGGATTAATAAAAGTAGAAAAAAGGATGGTTAAAAGGAGATGCATCCTTCCCATTGCTGATGCTCTTATATTGAAATGAAAAAAAAAAGTCATTTAAATGTTTGGAGGGAAATTTTTTAATAAGAAACTGACATATGACAGTAGAAATGTCAGCGGTAATTACGTTAGTATAGTTATAGATTTGATGCAACTTGTATTTTTTTTGTAAAAAAAAATAATAATTGATGACATCATACAACAAAGTGGCGGGAAATTTTTTTAATGTGGAAGCGACACATAGGATAGGGAGGGGGGTGTATGACGTCAGCAAACTTCTATTTTTGTAATAGTTAATGGATTATTAATGTTATTATTATTAATGTTGTTCGGGATACATTTGTTGATATTTGCTACAAATCTGGGATTTCAGCAAGAAAGGAGGTTGACATAGGATTGTCTGGAGGGAATAGCGGGGCCCTAAGACCTGCTGATGTGTTACTTTATTCATGGGATCGTGGTCGTGATGTATGTGTCGACTTCACAGGGTCTTCTCCTTTGATAGAGACAAGGCTATCTGACTTTGTTCCGGGACGGGTTGTGGCTGATGCGGCTCATCGGAAGCAGGTTAAGTATGAAGCTCGTTGTATGGAGATTGGATATGGTTTCATTCCCTTCTCCTTTTCTACGCTTGGGGATTTAGAGAAGGAGGTTGTTGCGTTGCTGAAGCGGATTCAAAGGTTCTCGACGACGCAAGACATTGAGGCTCATGCTGCAGCTCATATATTCACTAGGGTAGGCTTTGCTATAGCTAGAGAAGTGGGGGCCCAGATTGTATCTCGGCTTCCCACTAATTTATTGTAGGTTGTATGATTTTTGTTTTTGAGATATAATAATAATAATAATAATAATAATAATAATAATAATAATAATAATAATAACAACAAAAACAACAACAACAACAACAACAACATTAATAATAATAATAATAATAATAATAATAATAATAATAATAATAATAACAATAATAACAACAACAACAACATTATTATTAATAATAATAATAATAATAATAATAATTAATAACAACAACAATAATAATAATAATAATAACAAAACAACATTAACAACAACAATAATAATAATAATAATAATAGTAATAATAATAATAATAAAAATAATAATAATAATAATAATAATAATAATAATAATAATAACAACAACAACAACATTAACAACAAGAATAACAACAACAACAACAACAACAACAACAACAACAACATTAGTAATAGTATTAATAATAATGTTTAAATCTGCTCTGCTCGGCTCTGCTCTTTTCTGCTATTCTAAAATCTGCTCTGCTCTACTCTTCTGAAATTTAATCTGCTCTGCTGGCCCTTGCTCTGCTCTACCCAAAAGCTTAAAAGAACAAGGCCTCAGTTCAGTTCAGCTCCAATAAGTTTAGTTCAGTTCATTTCACTTCGGGTAAATTCGGTTAATCATCAGAACAAGCCATTAATGCAAAAAAAAATAAAATAAATAAATAAATAAATAAAGAAGTTATAATTATAGTGGAGTCTGTTGTTTTTCTTCTATCTTTCTTATTAGGTCTCAATAAATCTACACACATAGTGTAGATGTTCACCCATCTCCCTATAATGGAGTCGTTTTTTTTGTTCATTTCGTTGTTTGTTTTTGTTTTTGTGTGTTAGGGTTGATAAAAAGTAATCATCTGTTAATCCTAAGTTTTGATGATGACTCAAGTAACCTAAGCAAACTTATATTAGTTTAACTTTCATTTTTAGCTATGATTGATGCTAGGTTTATGCTACGAAATTATGATGTGAGAATGGAGCATGGAACAAGGTCTAGGTCTGCTATGGAAGGATAAAGAAGACAATCAGAAGTCAAGTTCCTTGAGTGAGGAACTGGAGCTCTAGAGTCGAAGCTTCTCAGAGTTTCAAGAAGTCTAATTTATTTTTCTGTATATTAGGCCTCTTGTATTTATACTAAGTACCTTGATTATGATAGGATTAAAGTGGATTTTATTTTATATGATTAAGATTTTATTTTCCATGTTTTAGCTTGTTTATTTCAAAAATATCTTTTAGTAAAAATATCTTTTTGTTAAAAGAATTTCTGATTTTATTAAGGCTTATCTTTTGGAAAATCAGTTTTTAGAAAATATTCTTCAACATGTGTTTTTACTTTGTCAAAGAAGTTGAGAAAAATTAGGAAGCAGTAAAACCACTTCCTATTAATTTGGTTTTACTTGCTGCTCAAGCTCCAACAACCTGCACGTCCTAACTCTAAGGATGTTGTGGCCTAGTGGAGGTTGAGGCAATGGCTGTTTTAACTTCCTCTATTTTTCTATAAATTGAATTGGTTTTCAGTTGAGAAAAACACACTTGAGCATTACAATCTTTAAGCTTTCAAAAAGATTCATAATCCACTTAAGTCCTTGAGTGTCTTTGTACTTAGCCTTTAGAGTTTAATCTTGAGTTGTATTGGGTTAGAGTTTGGGTAAACTCTAAGAGTGTTTATTGTTTTGAATGAAGCAAGGAGAAAAAGAGAGTTTAGAGTGATCAACTAATTGAGGGATCAGTTGAAAGGGGACTTAAGTTCGTTGAGGAACTTAGGTTTAGAGTCTTAATTTTTAATAGGTTGTTTGCCCTATTATTATTAAGAGTTGAGTTTAAAATCCCTTGTGGTCGTGGTTTTTCTTCTTGATTAGGGCCAAGAAGTTTTCCACGTAAAATCTCTCTTTGCAGTTTAAGTTTTTGTTTGAGTTTCTTTACTAATTCCACAAAACTTACCCTAGTTCCTTAACAATACTATTCACCCCCCTCTTGTATTGTTCATTCGAGTCAACAAATGGTATCAGAGCATTCCTCGAAGAAATCAGGAAACCCTAACGAGTTAAGTTCCTGGAATAAGATGAACAATCATGAGAAACTGGAAGAAGGTTACTCTATGCAGCGTCCTCCTATGTTCAATGGGAAGTTATACACTTATTGGAAGAACAAGATGGAGATTTTTATCAAAGCTGACAACTACCAAGTTTGGAAAGTCATTGAAGTTGGTGATTCTAAAATCACCAAAACTACTGGTGAAAATGAGGTAGTACCTAAACCCATGTATGAGTTTAATAAGGAAGATTTTGAAAAAAATGGAAATTAATGCACTTACTGTTAAACTACTTCACTGTGGTCTTGGACCCTATGAGCATAATCATGTTATAGGTTGTAAAAATGCTAAAGAAATTTGGGATTTACTACAAGTAACACATGAAGGAACTAACGAGGTGAAACGCTCTAAAATTGATCTGCTTATGTCTAAATATGAACGTTTTGAAATGCAACCAAAAGAAACAATCCAGGAAATGTTAACTAGGTTTACTAACATTATTAATAAGCTTGTTTCTCTTGGAAGCAAATCCCTATTGATGGGCAGGTCAGAAAAGTTCTAAGAAGCCTCCCTTAATATGAAAGATGGAGAGCCAAGGTGATTGCCCTATAAGAAACTAAGGACTTCACGGAGTTCAACAGAGCAACTTGCTGGTTCCCTCATGGCTCATGAGTTACACTTAGGAACAAGCAATAGTGAAGGAAACAAAGGAAAAGGCTTGGCTCTCAAAGCTTGTGATCCAGAAGACTCTGAGATAGATGAAGAAGAGGCTGCTATGTTGGTGAGAAGGTTCAAGAGAATGTTCAATCGAAATAATAGATTAAGGAACTTCACCAAAAAGTCCTCTACCTCAAAAGCTTACTCCGGTTGTCACAAATATGGATCTTTAGATCACTTTATTCGAGAATGTCCTCTGTGGGAAACTGAGAAAGGAAAAGGTAAGGCTAAGGAACAAAACAAGAACAATAAAACCCCTTTAAACAAGGCAGATATTAGGAAGGCTATGATAGCTGCTTGGGGAGATTCTGAGAGTGAAGATGAGGAGGAACAACCTGAAGAAACAACCAATCTCTGTCTAATGGCCAAACATGATGAGAAGGCTTACAATGAAGAACTGGCTAAAGAGGTCCTAGTGAGGGGGAACAACACGTGGTACCTTGACGACGGTTGTTCAAAGCATATGACAGGAGACAAATCGAAATTCCTCTCACTTGAGGCCTATTATGAAGGAATTGTGACCTTTGGAGACAACAAGAAAAGAGAAGGTATTACAAAAGGAAAAGTAGGAAGGTCAAGTTTCCATTCAATTGAAAATGTACTTTTGGTCGAGGGTTTGATGCACAATTTGCTGAGCATATTTGTAGACACCCAATTGTGTCTCCCCAAAAACCAAACCCA